AGAGCTCGGGCGGGCGGCGGGGCAGAGAGCCCAGGAGAGGAGCCTGGGGAAGGCCGAAAAAAATGGCGGCCAGAGACAACCTCTGGAGGAATTGAGTATGCAGGGAGAGATCTGCTGTGCAGGGAGAGTGTAGCCTGCCAGCAGGGAGATGGACCTTGGATGCCAGAAGGGAATCCATTAGGCACCAGGAGAACGATGAGGACACAAGCCATGTAAAAGCAGCAGAGAGGACAGTCTGTGGCTGAGTGGGAGAGAGAGATCTCCAGGGACCCACAAGGCCACCGGGGAAGACACCCAATCACCAAGAGAACATTGCAGGCAGAGTGTGGAGGTAAGGTCAGATTATTTACAATTAATGTCATAGGAAGCAAATAAAACACGTCACAACCATAAGATAGGACAAATAGAATAGATAAGAGACAGCCAGGAGCGCGAGAGAGAAGAGACAGCCAGGAGCGCGAGAGAGAAGAGACAGCCAGGAGCAAGAGAGAGAGAGAAGAGACAGCCAGGAGAGAGCGAGAAGAGACAGCCAGGAGAGAGTGAGAAGAGACAGCCAGGAGCGCGAGAGAGAAGAGACAGCCAGGAGCGAGAGCGAGAAGAGACAGCCAGGGGGAAAGAGAAGAGACAGCCAGGGGGAAAGAGAAGAGACAGCCAGGGGGAAAGAGAAGAGACAGCCAGGGGGAAAGAGAAGAGACAGCCAGGGGAAAGAGCAGAGACAGCCAGGGGAAAGAGAAGAGACAGCCAGGGGAAAGAGAAGAGACAGCCAGGGGAAAGAGAAGAGACAGCCAGGGAGCGAGAGAGGAGACGGGTGAGAGAGAAGAGAGAGTTAGGAGAGAGAGAAAGCCAGGACAATAAGCGAGGAAAAACAGCCAGGGAAGAGAGGAGAGACAGCTAGGAGAGAGCGAAGAGAGAGACAGCCAGGGGAGAAAGCGAGGAGAGACAGCCAGGAGAGAGCGAGGAAAGACAGCCAAGAGAGAGCGAGGAAAGACAGCCAGGAGAGAGCGAGGAGAGACAGCCAGGAGTGAGGAGAGACAGCCAAGAGAGAGGAGAGACAGCCAGGAGAGAGGAGAGACAGCCAGGAGAGACAGCCAGGAGAGAGCCGGGAGAGGAGAGACAGCCGGGAGAGGAGAGACAGCCAGGAGAGGAGAGAGAGCCAGGAGAGGAGAGAGAGCCAGGAGAGGAGAGAGAGCCAGGAGAGGAGAGAGAGCCAGGAGAGAGAGCCAGGAGAGAGAGAGCCGGGAGAGGAGAGACAGCCAGGAGAGACAGCCAGGAGAGACAGCCAGGAGAAAGAGTGACAGAGGTGTTTTTTTTTTCATTGGTAGATTGAGCTCATCATTTGAAAAGATCTGAACACAAACAATTGTGGGCACCCCGGATCTAAGGACTGGTACGCTGCAATATATAATTATTATTTTTTTCTTTGGGTTTATTTTAAAGCCGACTTGGCCACAAAGAAAAATAAATCTTCCCGCTCAAAAATAAATAATAATTGCCCATTTTTGGGATAAAATGGGTCCACCACACGGTAATATTCAGCTTGACCCACAATGTCCCGATCTTCTGCTTTGCTGACGCCTAAAACTCCTCATCATGCCGGTCTTGTCCTTCCCCTCACCATTATAATCCATGCAGGACCAGCGGCCACATCATCTGGATAAGACATGGCCGCCAGTAGGAGTGCGCTGCCACATTGTTGGAGATCAGGGGGAACGGGCAGAGAGCTGTGGTGGGACTATGGAGATCAGGGGACCGGGCCGAGAGCTGTGGTGGGACTATGGAGATCAGGGGACCGGGCCGGAAGGGGAGGGGGGGCCTGGGAG